TTCTATTGCAATGAAAACGTTGATAGAGTTCTTTCTCAAATGAAAGAAATGAGAAAAAAACGACCAATATTTCAAGAATCTTCGGAATTTCTAAACATATTATTTCATAATATTGAAGGATTGAAATGTAATTTTAATGCATTTCGACGTCATCATTTAACACAAAAAGCTGATGTTATTTGTCTAGCAGAGACATGGTTAAAGAATAATAATGAGATCGATAAGTTAGAACTTGATGGATATAACCTTTTACATAAAACACGATTGTCTTCATTTGAATCAAGCCATCCACTTCATTCACAAAAAGGTGGTGGTGTTGCGATATATTTTCGAAAAGAAATGTCTATAAAAAAAATTGACTCATGTGAGCATTTAAATCTCGAATATATTACTTTCGAAGTCGAGAAAAATAACACGACTATTATCATATGTTATCGATCGCCTCAACACAGTAAAAAAGAATTTTTAATAAATTTAATTGAACATCTAGAAGAAATCAGTATTGAAAAACATATATTTCTTATTGGTGACTTCAATGAAGATACTCTAAATAATAAATCCAAAACTATTGATACAAAATTAAAGAGCTTAGGCTTTACAAATATATTTAAAGATTTACCTACTACTAATAGTTTAACAAGTCTTGATTGTATTTATTGCAATTTTGTACTAAATCAAGATGAATATCGAGACGTATCAGGAACGTTTTACAGCTTTCACGATATTTTGATTTTCTCTTTTAATATAAAAAACGAAAGAATAAATAAATATAAAAAAATTGAAATTGATAGAGCTGGCAAAATTGAATTTGAAGATTCTTCACAAATTTCATTGTTAACTCTCGAAATTTCTCAAAAAACAAAGAAACGAAAAAGAACTTCCAAAGAAAAAACTTCGAGTAAATCCTTAAAAAACAGAAATATTTCACCTACAATAAGCGATGCGAATAATGCTATAAAACAGAAGCAATTACTTTTTCTTTGCAATTTAGATAATATTATGAAAAAAAACAGTCTAAAAAGACCATCTAGTACATCTAGTTTATTTGAACAACTAGCTAGTTTTGGCTTTAAAAAAGTTAAGGTATTAGGAGATGGTAATTGTTTTTTCCGTGCAATTTCGCACCAACTCTATAGACACGAACATGATCATTCAAATATTCGATCTGTAACAATAAATTATCTTATTGACAACATGAACGATTTCGCACCATTTGTTGATGATACGGATTCAACGATTGAAAACTACATTGAACGAATGAGTCGAAATGGAACATATGCTGATCATCTAGCAATATCAGCTACAGCAGTTATTCTCAACAAAAATATAATCATTCATGAAATTGGTAAAACACCACTTTTAATTCCTGGATCAGATTTTATTGACCATCAAGTACATGTCTGTTATAATCCTGATCTTTTACACTATGATAGTATTGTTTGCGTTAATAATGAATCAGCATTTCTCTCTGCTGAACAAATTTTATTTACTTCATAATTCTTCTCTCTTTATTTGTTTTCTTTTTTTTCTCTTCTGCTTCTTCTTTTCTCTTCGTTTTTCCCTATGCGAACTTTTTTTTTATGCTCTTGACCTGCGCAGATCTCAAGATTTGTCCATAGCGCATGACTTTCTTGCTTAGACAAGCGCTTAAGTGTTTGCATAAGTTACAAGAAACTCATGTGCTCAACCCAACAAAATGTAACTATGAATTTTTATTAAAAGTTGAGTTATTTTGAACGTAAAATTGAAAAAAAAAATTCTTTAATAACAGAAACGCTTGGGTAGGAATTCAAGTTCATGGCCAAGAATTTCAAGCGTATGAGCAAGAATATTAAGCGATAGAATACGAAGTTCAAGAACTTGAGTTCACCGAAAAGTCTAAAGTCTTGCTTCAAGATTTATCGGTAGCGCATGAATTTCTTGATCAAAATTCTCAAGTATCTCTTGCGTAGACCAAAAGAAGTTCATCTAGAGTTATCTCTTAATTCTTTTCTCTTACTAATCCAATCTGTTGTATTTGTAAAATTCCGTGTTCAATCACCTCTATATTTTTTACTTAAAATAATACTGTTATTTTCTACTTATCTATATAATTTTTTGTCTTATTATTTTAATTCTCATACCATTTACTTCATATCATGTTATACCACAATTTAAATATTTTTTCAATATATCAATTACAACATTACTACATAAAAAAAAGTAAATTATTGATAACACTTTCATTGTTACACAACATAGGTTTATTTTCATTTTCAGTTATTATGTCTTGTATTTATGAGAATAATCTTCTTAATAATAAAAGAAATAAACGACGATATACATTTTCAAATTCTGTTAGTATAAACACTAAGTAATACGATTGTATATTTTTATTTGTACATTGATATCTTTTTATCACGAACAAAAGTCTTTTTTATTTAGTTAAAAATACCGTTGAAAGTATAATGAA